GGGTGGGGGAGGTGTCGAAGCAGTGTGCCAGAAATGTAGGTGGGGGGGAAGGTGAAGGTGAGGATGAGGGGGGTTGCAGCCGTGATGTCTGGGCCAGGGGAGGGGCAGACTGATCAAATCTATTGAAGAACAGATTCAGATCATTCACCCACTTCTGGTCGCCTCTGGCCTGGGAGTCTGGTTGTTTGTGTCCTGAGATGGTTTTCAGACTTCTCCAGACTCCGCTGACGTCAGTCTGCTGTCAGCTGTTACTCCATCTTCTTTTTATATCCTTTCTCCGCCTGATGTTTCTCCGTAGCTCCTTCTGCACGGCCTTCAGCTCCTCCTTATTTCCAGAGTTAAAAGCTCTCCGCTTCTCCTTCAGGAGAGCCTTTATATCTGGAGTAATCCAGGGTTTGGTGTTGGCGAAGCGGTGCACAGTCCTGGTCGGTATTGTGCTTTCCACACAGAAGTTAATATAATCCGTAATACATGATGTCAGACTGTCAATGTCCTCCCCATGGGAATCGCTGAGTACCTCCCACACACTGGTTTCAAAGCAGTCCTTCAGGGCCTCTTCGGCCTCATCAGACCACCTCTTCACAGTGCGGGTGGTTGCTGGTTCCCTCTGCACCAGAGCTCTGTAGACAGGCAGAAGATGAACCAGGTTGTGATCTCTTCCCTGGGGGGGGGGGGCAGGGGGGGATGAGTGGTATGCCTCCTTGGTGTTGGCATAAAATAAATCCAGTGTTTTATTGTCTCTGGTGTGGCAGGAAACATACTGGGTGAAGGTGGGCAGGGTGGTGGAAGGACAGGCATGGTTGAAGTCCCCAGAGATCAGACGGAGGGCCTGAGGTTGCTGTGTTTGCAGCCTACTTGTAACAGAGTGGAGAATGTCACAAGCAGACTCAGCCTTTGCAGACGGGGCTACCATAGCTACCATAATAACATGAGAAAACTCCCTGGGTAGATAATATGGTCTCATGCCAACAGCTAGCAGCTCAATGTCCCTGCAGCAATACTGTTCCTTGATAGTGATGTGCCCAGAGTTACACCATTGTAAGAAATATTGATTGTTACATAATTTATAATTTATTCTGTGGCAGCATTTATTAAATAAATGCTCGCTGACATTCTCCACCATTTTGTATGAAAAGTTTGATTGATATGATTCATTTAGGGTTTGCATTCTCCACCATTATATATGTAAGATTTGTTTGATTATAAACAGTTTATTCAGGTGCCTACATTTTTCACCATGATTACTGTAGGGTTTGATTAGCTCAATATTAGGAAAAAGTGACAATAAGAATTATTAAACATAACCACTTTAATTATTCGTCCAGCAATATAATTTCATAGTCAGACTAATAAAACCACACTTCTTGTTGATCAGACAAGAATGTTTAACGCACTTTGGGGAAATTATTAATTATCAATTGTCAATTCAAATAGAGCAACTATGAGTGGAATGAAATGAATACAGCAATGCTAATGAATGAATGAATGAATGAATGACCAGAGTGAACCAGATGAAGCAGTGAGCAATGGTAAGATAATTATCAGAGGAAACTTTGACATGAACTGTGAAAAGCACCATTCAACAGCTGAGAGACATGGGAAGCAAAAAAGGAAACATCTGAAAACTTAGGGGAAATCCTAGTTTTATCTAATGCTCCCTACCATACTATACATACTTTACTATACATAAAATTATGTTGTTTCTCCTGAGTTGTAGCAGACCAGAAAGAAGATGCTCTGGAGGGGGAAGAGGAAAAAGCAGCGCTGCTCCTTGGTGTGAACCGCTCCTGTTGCTGTCCCACGGGGCAGCCTGCTCAGCTTGTCCTTCTCTTCTCTTCGGTCGAACTTCTTGGAGCCCTTGGGCACTTTTGGGCGTTCTTGAGCCCACATGGCAACTTTGGCTCGGGTGAGCTTGGCTCTCCATGTCAGTCATCTTCACACACCCAGTGTGGGCATGCAGGAGTCTGCCTTTCTTCAGTCCTGACCTTGTTGGTCCAGGACACAGGAGTTAGGCAGACCTTGTGGCATAAAGTTCTTTCTGTTGGGTTTTAGCATGTTCAGTTCTGCTCAGGATGCAATCAAATTGCCCAGCGGGGCCACGCTGGATGGGGCCCAGCATGGCCCGCCAGCTTCTCAAAAGTTCTTCTTCAAGTTCTTCTTTTTCTTTTTTTACTTAACAAGACAAAAAGTCTCTTCTCATCTTATAGTTGTTCCAAGGGGTTGAGACTGGCAGGCAGGCTCCGGCCTCTGCGCTGTGATTGGCCTTGCCATCTGTCTGCCTCTGGGCTGATGTCCAGTAGGAGCAGTTCAATGTCACTGGCGGGACATTTCACTCCTCCCCTCCTGTACCTTTGCTAGTTCAAAGTTTAATTTACTTTAATTGCTTTCTAGATAGTTAATGAAGCTTGGAACATTTCTAATGCTTCCCTCCATATTTACCAACGAGGCACTGTCTGCTATTGAATGGTACCAAACACACATTGTCTGCAACAGGATATTACCAACTTATAAATAAGTGGTCAACAGACACTACTAATTCAGATTTAAATGTTATACGTGGTGATCGTGTACTAACATCATATACATATATATATGTATATATATATATATATATGTACACACATGTGTATGTATATGCACTGAAACAGAAAGAAAGGTGAAGCATAAAATCACAATCAACATGTTGGTTCCCGGAATCCGCATTTCTGTCTGTCCTCTTAAAAGACAACCACAGGGAAAGGTGGGTGGTATCACATTAGCATACAGTACACACAGACGTCTGCACCATAGGGGACGTAGTGTCAGAGTGGCAACTCAACTTGAATCTTCTTCCTGGATAACACCAACACCAACATGTTAAATAATAAAGTTACATTTGAAACACCTTTCAGACCATGTGGCTGAGTCTGTCTCTGAAGTGACCCAGTGGTTGGTCATCGATTCGTCTCTGATGTCAGGAAGCTGAGTAAAAGTCCATTGGTGTAAATCCAAAATAAACAGGCTTGATCACCCTACACCATCACTGACAAACACAGCCAGCCCTTTCCTCTTACCGCTGTCCTGTCGTATCTGATGAGCTGGAATCCATCCAGCACGGCGATCGTGCCCGGTACTTCCGCGTTCAGCCATGTCTCAGTAAACACCAGCACGCTGCTCTGTCGGTACTCCCTCTGATAGCGAGTCAGCGCCGACAGCTCGTCCATCTTGTTGGGGAGCGATCTTACGTTCCCCATGACGACAGACGGGAGGACGGGTTTGTACCATCTCCTCCGGTATCGCCGCTGCACTCCGGCGCGACATCCCCGTTTCCTTCTCCGCAGCTTGGTGCGAATGTCGTGCCTCTCCTCGGGCCGTACCGCGGTGTGACGCAGCGCTAACAGCTGGTCCCGGGTGTAAACAATGGAGCCACGACTGGGCGCCGGGTCCCCGCACGCGATCGTTTCCATAGCAAAAAGGGAGAAAGACCGCTATAAAGAGAGCGGTCTTCGTCTCCATACCAAAGCAAAACATAAGTGCTAGCAAGCCAAACTTTAAAAAAAACTCAGAGTGAGAAAGTTAAAAACAAGATTGAGAAAAGCTCAGCGGTGAGCAGGAGCTGCTGTAACAGGCGTCCCCACTAGAGGCGCCATCTTGACTTGAAGAATACAGGAAGAATACATTATCATGCATTTATAGGGAGGTCTGTTACTGTAGGCTTTGGTAACAAAGTTTGAGCCAAGAACTAATTTATCTCATTTAGCTTGATGTGTGAATTTACAGCAGACACATGATGTGTCTTTTTAAGTAGAAGTGTTTGAAGTTGAAGTCATGTTTCAGGACAGTGTGGAGGTAATTGTCTCTCTATGCATATTAATGTACAATTTTTGTGGGAGTACAATGATCTACAAAATAACCACATTTTCAGTTATAAATCATATTGTAGTATAATAAGTAAAAATGCAGTTCAGTGTTTTTCATGAAGTGATGATTGAAGGTGCTTTCAGATAGATGTGTCTCTAAATGCAGCAGTTAACTTAGTCTTGCCAAACTTAAATAATCATTACAGCATTGCATTATTGGTCAAATGTGATGTTTTAGACCATTCTGAAATAGACCATTCTAATTATAGTCTTGTTTCACAATTATTTAATTATTTCATAATTATTATTATTGCAATTATTCATGTGATGCTTTAGGTGATTGCAGGGGTGGGTCCGAATATGCCACAAGTAATACACACAAGTTAAAAAGTATTTCTTTTTTTAAAATGTACTTCTGCTCTTTACTCAAGTATATTTTTGGGCCAGTAATCTACTTACTTTTACACTACATTTTGACAGCTGATGCTCTTCAGTGCAGCTACTCTGGAATCCTGGCTGACAAACAACAGCATCTGGAAGAGCAGAGCTGGCACTAGATGTCAGTGTGATGTCAGTAAGATGTTGGACTCTCATATCAGACTAATGTTACATTTTGGTTGGAATAAAAATCAGGTTGATGATATTTTGAATGTCTAACAACATTAGAATTTCATATAATGTGGGACGTCATTATGACCTTTTGCAGATATTGGGTTTTGTTCTCCATACTTATGACTAAATGTCATTTTTCAATGTCAAGGTAATGTTTGCATGAGATGTCTGGAAAACTGATTTTGACTTAAAAACACAACTTAAAATCAACAAAACATAAATGTTATCTGTCTTCAATATTCTACATCAAATTAACGCTGGCATTAGACGTTGGACACCCAATGTCACAGCCTAAACTCAATCTGGGATGAATAGTTCAATAAGTGCAGAAAATAGACATCTAAAATGGTGATGTGATTTAAGGACAATGTTGTGGATTAGTTGTCGGACTATCCCCACAATGAATTAGGGGTTTAAGAATAGAGGACGTCCTATGCAGATCGTAAGGCTTCTTTGACGCAAACTTGTGATTTGTGATATTGGGCTGTGTCGCTTGACTTGCTTACTGTAATACCAACTTGTGACTGTTTGATTTGTGTATGTGTTCAGGACTATGATCTTAGTCAGCTGCAGCAGCCTGATGCCCTGGAGCCAGAGTGTATTAAGGTGGGGATCAGACGTCTGGATGAGAGGCCTCTTCATCATGATCACCAGTACCCCCTCCGTTCTGCTGCCCCCCACCCAGGAGATATAGGAGACTTCATCCATGAGGTATGGCAGCACGCAGGCTCTGTTTATGTTGGACAAATCTCATGAAGTCCTTTACCAATTTAAACATTCATGGTAATATCTTTGCATTAAATGTTGTTAGCGTTGTTTTCAGACTAAACCAGCAAGAGGATGATGTCCCATCCTCACTAACTGAGATCCAGTCTGTTTGCCCAGATTAAATTCTGGTGTCGGGCGAATGCACTTCTTAGCACACAGAAAGTGATGAAGCACAGCTTGAGTAAAACACACACGGTCTAATTGACAGCAGTAAGCAGACAGTGTCCAGAAAAAGCTGGATCTGTTGCTTCTCTCTTACCTTTTCTATCCTTTGGTATAACACATCAAAGAGTGGCTAGCATGTGTTAACAGTTTACCTAATCACCTTACAGGATTTAAGGATGTTGCACAAACCTTTTTTTTGTTGTTGTTTTTTTTTTAACAGTCACTAACTCGTAGGTTGGATCTGCCAGTATGGGAACTAACCCACTGCCACATTCAAAGCCTGTATCCAAACAGGAAAGCACACAAAGGCATCATCACACAGTGTTGCAGATTGAAAATACATTGTTCCCCTTCAGTGATGTATCAGTGATATGTGATGGTATATGTGCTTTGCAGGGGTTGCACACTAACAGCTGACATGAGGCAGTGAGAAGCAGAGAAACACAGAGAGTACAGTGTCTGTGTAATACTTAATTAGCTTTGCTAGTGGTCAGGATTATCTGGACTCCGACCTGGCCACAGCCTGGCTACCTAATTGGAGGTAAAGCCATTGAGTTGAGTTAATCCCGCAGACTGGCTGCAGGCCATCCACAGCTCCTTAAAGTCACAATTTGGGGCACTCTGTCACTGTGTTCCACTTCCTATTTACATTATTATATACTATTTCCTATTCTTCATCTAACTGCTTCATCCTCTTGAGGGTCGCGGGGGGGCTGGAGCCTATCTCAGCAGACATCGGGCGAGAGGCAGGGTACACCCTGGACAGGTCACCAGACTATCGCAGGGCTGACACATAGAGACAGACAACAATTCACGCTCACATTCACTATTTCCTATTCTATGGAGCTTTATCCCTATCTTTATTCAAGAGAGTGGTCTATCAGTTTGAGAGCATTATTTATTGATTTCATGCTCAAAAACCCTGCCCTCGCACTCAAATAGCCTCTGCTTGTGCTTGGATCTACTCAGTTTCTGCTCAAACTGTGTGCTCGCACTCATATACCATGTTGCTTGCACTCAGATACAGTGTTGCTCACACAGATTTCCTGCTCGAGCTTCGGCTTTTCTCCTCGTGCTTAAACTGTTTCTGTGCGCTCTCAGAATTTCTGCTCTCAGATTTCTGCTCTCAGATTTCTGCCCTGCCATTGGATTTTTTTGTGTAACAACCCTGTCAAAATCCCCCAACCAATAGAATGCCAGATTTACTGTTGACCAATGAAATGATCCCTGCATTTGCTTCAGTATTAGAGCGTCCTGTCTGGGCGGGTACTCTTTAACCGGATTCATCCACTCCCACCCTCCAGGGCTTTATTAAATGTTCTTCCCTTGCTTTCTTTACCACTTTTGGAATATAGTACAGTGGATAAGCTCTCAAATTATGAGGATTTGTGCACTTTTTGAAAAAAGTATGAAATTTCTACCATAGTTAGTACATACCATAAGGTTTATTTTCAGATGTGGAGGGAAGTCAGATTTGACCTCTGAGGCCCGGGAGAGGTCAAATTCAAGATGGCCGCCAATAATATTCAAATATGCTTAACTTTGGAACCAAACACAATAGAAAAACATTTAAGGTGTCATTTCCAACTAAGTTTAGGGTGCCCATTCAGTTAGTGATACTCTTGAGATCAATGGAATTCAAAAAAATGCATTTAGGTCAGGGTCAAGGTTAAAATTTGCTTACAAAAAACAAAACATTTTCCCCTCTTTTTAAATTTTTTTTAATGAACCCCAAAAATATTTCAATTACTTTTTACTCTCATGTGTTATTCAGTAATTAGTTATCATTTACTGGGATGTGTGGTTATTTTTTCCTGCTAAGCACATCATTATCAGCAGATGGCCCTCTAGAGCATCAGTAGCTAATGCCAGTAGCGATGTAGTCAGTAGGCAACATGATGAGTAGGCTACAGTATGCACAAGTGATAAGACAGAGAGCACTTCTGACATAAATGTCCTACCAGGTAAACTGACTGACTATGTACAGACAATGGCCATGTTTCCCAGTTAAGAGCGATCTTAAGACTTAAGAGCACAGTTAAGAACGTCTTTGGTAAGAAGGGTTGCTAAGATACGAGTGTTTCCCAGATGCGTTCTTAATGCCCTTCTAAGGATCGCTCTTAAGATCGCTCTTTAAGAAGCTCTTAACAGGAGCTGTCCACTACCGCGGTGCTGAAACAATCGATGTTAGGCACCCACCACTTAATCAGCGCATAAGTCACACACAGTGCTGCTACCTAATGTACTAATTCCCTGCTGCTCGTGTGTATGTGTGTTCTAATAATTCTAATGAAAAACTAAGATGATAAATATTTGTTAATGACCTATTTTCATGATGAAAACAAGATTACAACTAAATAAGAAGTAGTCTTGGTAAGAGAATCATAAGGAAATGTATTATATTTAAACAAAAAAACACAGACGCCTTGCTGAGGCTGGTGCCGTCTCCCACCACGACCAGGAAGCTCCCCACTGCGTAAAAACGCAATGCAGCCAGGCATTGCACCTCCGGGCTGAGGGCAAAATTGCACCAGGTTGCCCTCCGGATGTGTGGAGACACTAGTTGATGAAGCGTTTTATCTTGGTACTTCATTTGGACAGCTCGGTCTGACAGCACGTCGAGTAGGCTGACGTGCTGGCGCACGAATGCATTTACATATACGGTTTGGCTTCGCACACGGCGACGCTGTTGGTTAGCAGCGAGAATATGCTGTAAAGCAGCCATGGTATCTCACACATGTGTGACGTGGCAACGCCTTTATATAGAGTAGTGGGTGGAGCATCCCTTCATGAGGTTCCAGCTGAGCTCAATTATACCTGTCAGTTGCCTGATATCTGAATGTCGCAGGTTTGGAGAGTGGATGTGTTTCTGTTGTGCCCTGATGCATTTTTTGGATGTGGTAAACTATCTCATATGTGCATACAGATGTGGGATATGTGCGGACAAATTATGATAAATGATAGTCATGATGATTCATTTTATTTGTGTGCCTGATGTGCACAGCACATACAGGAACACACTTGTTATTCCTCATACTTATTTTTCTTATTATTATT